TGAGTTCCATTGCAGTGCGACTTAGGTCGCGACTTAATGACCGAGGACAAATGTGGGTCCTGAGGTTACACAGGCACAGAGAACCACTGCACTAGAAGCTGCAGCAAGTAAGCTAGAGCTCACCTCATTTCCTGACTGCAGGACTTCTGCCCCCTCATCTAGTCTTTTCTCCCCAGCCAAACTGTCCCCGACCCCTTCCATTCAATGGATTTCAGTTCTTTTAATCATGGGGGCTCAGGATCACATTTGAGTGCTACCTTGGGCAGTCTGAATGCAAATGTACCCTACCAAGGAATCCCCACTCCACTAGGCTAACCGCCCATCAAGGGATTTTATTATTTGCATAACTCCTGCTGAGATCCAGCTCACTGTTTTCACTACGGTTCAGGGCTCTTCAGAGGAGTACTGAAGCAGGGTGCTGTGATGTTTTCAGGACGCTATTAACAGCACTCTGCCGGCCTCTACTACCAGCCATGATCTGCCTGCATTGCATAGAGAAATACCAAAACCCAGCAATTACACCTCTGGTTCTTAAAGGAGAACTATGAGGTGAGTGCTTCTCACTCACCTCATAGTTCTAGCCGACCTGTGACAATGAGACTGTCACAGGTCGGCTCAGTAGATCGGGAGGTGAGCGAACATATACCGGCGTTCGCTCACCTCTCAAAGATGTCACAGCTCTCTGCCGTGACAGGGGAGGGGCTGGATTCCCCCCCGATCCGCCAGCGCTGACTGGCGGAACGGACGTGGGAGGGGGCGGGTACAGCTGGCTCTTCCTCTAGATAGGTAGAGCCAGCTGTCACTCACGCAGCTGGGCGGATCTCGACATCGATGTCGGGATCTGCTCCAGCTGCGGCGTCTCAGTATACCGCGAGCTGTAGCTCGCGGTATACTGAGCTTAGGGTGATGGGAGGATGCTAGCTTGTGTCCTCCCGTTACCCTAAGGAGAACTATGGGGAAAAGCCCTGACTCCATAGTTCTCCTTTAAATAAGGTATGTAATGGAATTTCATTAGCATACTGATGAGGGGGGAGGGAGGAACCAGGTAGGGCAACATATAAGCAGAATACATTTCAGCTTTAAATTGAACTAATACAGCTCAAAGTGAAACTCCTGGATTTTCTTTATACACAAATCAAATGATTTACCTCCAATAATATTTTCCTAGGTCTGGATTGCTGCTGTACAAATGATAGTTTTATTGATGCAGGATACCACTTAACTGTAACTTAAAAGTAAAATAGTCTTTGGCAGGCGATGAAAATAAAAAAAGCAGCTCAGACTTTGCTGTGACTTCACGTACAGCGTGCTTATACCTGGACAGTGACTCAAAAGATATGAAAGCCAGAGACAGACAAGCAACTAGCATTTCCAGAAGAGGCAGCCTGCCAGTCTTCTCTACTGAGGTTTGGATCCCTAAAAGCAGCATGGTAAGAAAAAGAGACAGGGAGGGATTAAGAATCAGGAGATCACAGTGATCATTCACTAAGGACGTGGGTATGGTTGCCTGGAGAAATTGTGTTTGTTTTAAACATTAAATCAATGGTAAGGAAATGTAAAGGTATTAAAATTCTTCCCCTGAACCTGATCCGATGATTGAAGTGAACGCAGGTCGCTGGGTCATGGTTCCAAATATTTCTATTGTAAAACAACCTCTATGTAAGCAATGCAGGTAAGGAGAGGAAGCGGATTATATAATTCATACAGTAAATACTGATACACTACTTGAACATTTCAAACAATATTTACATTTTTTTTTTTTAATCTCTAGAGCTGTCAGCTTTAGAGATCTTGGTAGCAAATATTAAAGATCTGACCCTGGTTTAATAAATCCCTGATGTTTAATAAATGATGATCAAATTAGATTACAAATATGACACATTGTTCTGATCAGGAGTAGATCCATTCATGGATCCCCTGCTGATTGGAGCAGTTCATCAGAACAGATGTCACCGTTGTGACATTCGTGTCCATCCAGTTTTTTCCTCCCTCCCAAGGTGGAGGAAAAAACTGAAATTGCCAGACCCATGTCGGTCTATGGGGAGTTGAATGTAAACAGACTGGCACGATCAGGTCCGGCGAAACCTGGCCGGAGTCGAGGGGTAACCGGATGTGAATGGACGACAGTCCGCTTAGATCTGGCTGCCCATAGACTAACTTTGGGCTTCTGATCAGATCTGCTGAAAACTGACACACAAACCTGATCGGAATGAAAAGGCTCTAAATCCACCATCATAATGAAATCTTAATTTATTGGTAGAGATAAGTTAGCAATAGGGGAAAACTAACGTGCATGCTCATAGCATGTGTTTATGCCATGTTGCAGACAGCTCCAATCCCAGCTATATCTCTGTAATGTATTTTAGCCATTGAGAAATAGAGAATAGCAAGAAAAAGAGAAAATGTCGGCAATACTTTTAGTTGGCTAATTGGATATATTGTGTTGCTCAAGCTTTTGTAAATACTCAATTCTCTTTGCCTGGTATGAAGTCAAGCTTTATCTCAATATGCAATCATGATTTCATGAGAAAAGACAATCAACTCTGTCTTAGGTATCCAGACAGGTTCAGTAGAAGGCCACATATTAAGAGTTTTCAGTGGAAAGTGAAAGCCTTCTGAAAACTTTTAGGAATTTAGAAACAAAATGGAAAGGTGAGGTCTTTATTTGTGGGTTTTAAGGGTACATATAGGGTTACAGAAGCTCATTTCTACTATCTTTGACCTTTTATTGTGCCACAAAAACTCCCCTTGTTAGTCTCATATTGCATTTTTTTCACAGAAGTATTAAAGAAAAGATAGTAAAAAAAAAAAGTAAAGAAAAAAAGATCTGACCCTGGAAATTTCAGTCCCTGATGTTTAATTAGTGATGATCAAATCAGATTACAAATATGACACATTGCACATTTTTCAATTCAGCTAAATATATTTATAGAATTCATCCAGTCTGCAGAGAATTGTATCTGTGTATCATGATTGCTGGTGTGTGCGATTCACCAGAGATTGGAGAGATTTCTAGGCAAATCAAACGTATTTAAAGTCTTGTTCATACCACTGCAGTCTGCAGGGCTTAAACACCCAGACATTTTTTCTTGTACTGTACTGACGGTAAGACAGTCCATTTGATTTGAACGTTACAACTGTGCATTGTGGCGTGCTATAGCGAAGGTGCATTTTTATTTCTGGAGAAATAGAGAATAGCAGGAAAGAGAAAATGTCGGCAATACCTTTAGTTGGCTAACTGGATATACTGTATTGTGTTTTGCTCAAGCTTCTGTAAATACTCAGTTCTCTTTGTCTGCTATCAAGTCAAGCTTTATCTCAGTATGCAATCATGATTTCCTGAGAAAAGACAATCAACTCTTTCTTAGGTATCTGGAAAGGTTCCATAGAAGCCCACATATATTTATGATCACTTCCCTATCCAAATACCACCAGCCCTGTCATGCAACAGTCATCTTGTTTATAGACATGAGAGCAATTAAGAGTTTTCAGTGGAAAGTGAAAGCCTTCTGAAAATTTTTAGGAATTTAGAAACAAAATGGAAAGGTGAAGTCTTTTTTTGTGGGTCTGCCTTTGAATCGCTAAGGTTCCTTTCACATGGATTCCTTCAGTTCTGATCAGGAGGAGATCCATGCATGCATGTCCTGCTGATCGGAGCAGTTCAGAACAGATGTCATTGTTGTGACATTCGTGTCCATCCAGTTTTTTCCCACAACACAAGGTGGAGGAAAAAACTGAAATTGCCGGACCCATGTTGGTCTATGCAGAGTCGGATGTAAACAGACTGACACGATCAGGTATGGCAAAACCTGGCCGGAGACGAGGAGTACCCGGATGCGAATGGACGACAGTCCGTTTAGATCTGGCTGCCCATAGACTAACATTGAGCTTCTGATCAGATCTGCCTAAAAACTGACAGGCAGACCTGATCGTGTGAAAGGGCTCTAAATCCATCACTATAATAAAATCTTTATTTATTGGTAGGTTTAGAGATAAGTTAGCAATAGGGGAAAAACAATCGCTGTAAAGGTTCAACTAACGTGCATGCTCATAGCGTGTGTTTATGCCATATCGCAGACATCTCCAGTCCAAGCTATATCTCTGTATCTCAGTAATGTATTTTAGCCATTGAGAAATAGAGAATAGCAGGAAAGAGAAAATGTCGGCAATACTTTTAGTTGGCTAACTGGATATATTGTGTTGCTCAAGCTTTTGTAAATACTCAGTTCTCTTTGTCTGCTATCAAGTAAAGCTTTATCGCAGTATGCAATCATGATTTCTTGAGAACAGACAATCTACTCTTTCTTAAGATATCTGGACAGGTTCAGTAGAAGCCCACATATTTATATGATCACTTCCCTATCCATATACCACCAGCCCTATCATGCAACAGTCATCTTGTTTATAGGCACGATAGAAATTAAGAGGTTTCAGTGGAAAGTGAAAACTTTCTGAAAAATTTAGAAACAAAATGGAAAGGTGAGGTTTTTTTTGTGGTTTTTAAGGTTACATATAGGGTTACAGAATATCCTTTATACTATCTTTGACCTGTTGATGTGCCAAAAAATGTCGTCTTGTTAGTCTCATTATATTGCAATTTTTTCACAGACGTAATAAAGAAAAGACAGTCAATAAGACATTTAAAAAAAATGTAAAGCAAAATACACAAATGCATAAAAAAGGAAGAAAACACAAATGCAGAGCACACTAAATGGAATAAATCAATCTATCCTAAATACACCCAAAAACATCTACGTTATAAAGAGTAGATTGTTTTTACTTTCAAGCAAATTTCACTTTAGCCGACAGTAAAACCAGTAATTGCACAGTGAGATTCATTTTGCCAAAATGACTCTGTTCCCTCCGGCTTGTTTCTAAGGTCACCTTTATTTGGGCTTTTCATTATCAAATAATACAAACGTTTCCAAAGACAAATAGTGAAAAACTAAAAAGGGAAATAAAGAGGCAGCCAGAAAAATATACATCCGTTTGTGACTTACTTGCACAGCTGCCCAGAAGAAGCAGCAGCATCATCATCCTGAAGAGTGTCTGGAACCTCTCTGCCTGTCCTCCTTGGCTATCCTGTCTAACAGTGAGGGTCCAACTCCAACTCTACTGTGGATATAAGAGGGTGTTGTGGACACATGGACTTTGGGAGGAGATGATGAGGTGAATTCCTGTAAACGGCAAGATAAACAGCATGCTTTCACAACAGGTGTTTGCAGAAGGGAGGAGAGATGTGGGGGGGAAGAGAGTTTCACAATCCCAACAAAGACATTCAATGCAGGGAAATTCTTGAATTTGCCATGAAATACTCTCAGGACATGCTGCTAATCATTTTCAGGGAAATTACCACTTTTTGGAGATTTGTCCCGTCTACCACAAATTTTTTTCTTTATTGTTAAATAAGGTACACAAGACTTTGTTACTCTAATATGATTGGTTTATACTGCTGCCTATAGGAGGCTTTGGACACTGGCAAACAAAAAAGCCATTATATAACCTGTCCCACTTCCAGCATTAGTGATGGTCCGAACACACCTGAGTTTGGGTCGAGTTCGAACTTTAGAACATGGAAAAAGTTCGAACTCGAACTTCGAACTCAATGAAAGTCTATGGGACCAGAACTCTGAAAATCACATATCCCCATTTTGAAGGCTTATATGCAAGTTATTGGACATAAAAAGTGTATGGGGATTTGGGTATTACCCTGGGGGACAGTAATCAATGCAAAGTTTTTAAAGGAGCAGTGGTTTTAAAGTGAAACAATAAAAATTATACAATTCCTTTAAATCTCGTGCCTGGGGGGGTCCCCTTAACCTGCCTGTGAAGTGACGGATCTGTACAATGTATAAAACTTGCTGCAGCAAACCTGACATTCTTGTCAGGAAGGTAGGAATGTTAGGCGGGACCCCATTTAAATAAAAGGAAAATAAAAAGAGTGGGATTCCCCCCAAAATTCATACCAGACCTTTAAGGTCTGGTAGGAATTTTAAGAGGCACCCCATATAAAAAAACAAAAAATAAAGTGCATGGGGTTCCCCCTCAAAGTCATACCAGGCCCTTAAGGTCTGGTAGGAATTTTAAGGAAGAACCCCACCCCCAAAAATGGGGGGAAAAAACATGGGGCCCCCCCTAAAATTCCTAACCAGGCCTGGCAGCCCCTCCTCCTTCCCATACCAGGCCACATGCCCTCGGCACTGGGAGGGCGCTTTTCCAGAGTCACCCCTGAAAAAGCAGCTTGTCCCTGTGCTGATGGAGACAAGGACCTCTTCCCCACAAGCCCTGGGGTGTTGGTTTTGGGGATGCGAGCAGGGGGCTTATTCACATCAGAGTACCCCTTTAATAAAGGGGCACCCAGATGTGGCCCACCTCAAATCCTTTAATTGAAATAAAAACACAACAAAGTCTTTTGACAATTCTTTTGTTGCAAAACCCCCCCCAAAAAACAAAGAATTGATCCATCAACGTAATCCAGGGTCAATCACGACGTCCAGCATTGTCCACGACGGCGACGACTCGACAAACTAAAAACTAAATAGAAATTATTGTTTTTTTAAAACAGACGCCCGCTGACACGTCCGCTCGTGATGAACTCCCGCTGCGGAATAGCATTCTGACAGATGCCGGCAAAATATAAACAATTGGGCGGAGCTAGCTGTGTATGCTGCATAACAGTGTCCTTCACTGGAAACACTGTTTAAAATCCACCCAACTCCCTACCTTACGAGAACTGGAGTGGATCCTCAGCCTTGCACACACTGTAGAGGTGCCAGGAGCCAGAATGTGACTACAGGACAGGCCAGGGAGCATATGGATGGAGCTCCCTCGCGGCAATAAGCCCCATCCCACCCAACCTCAAGCTGACACTCAACATCCGGCAGCATATTGTGAATGGCTGCTCAGCGTGAGAACTGACAGTGCACCGTTAGGGGGAGGCTGAGGAGCATCTCACCTAGAAAAGTGGAAGGCATGTGGCGACCCACTGAACACAGGGGTCGCGACCCACTTTTTGTGTCATGACCCACCAGTTGAGAACAAAGGCTTTAGAGTCTGAGTACAATCAAAAATGGAGAATATTCTTTTACAATCAGACCACTGGATAGATTCCCAACAAATACCTTTTCTTGTTATTTGCATATTATCACTGAGGCGTCACTGGGATCTCCATATAACCTTGGGTATTGTTTCCCCAATGATTCATTGTACATAGCCAGCCTTTGTGTGCTAATCCTTTTGGCTCACGCAATAAACCTATTGTAGTTGCAAAACTTATTGCAAAAAAGATACTGAGCACAGAGTATTTGTTGAAGAACTCCAGGAAAAACATTACAGACAGCCTGCCCCCTAAACTGAGATGGGTGTAGCTTGAACATTCAAAGGTACAGTGTGTAAAAAATAGGCAATTGCCCTGCAATAAGGTAAGCATTATCTTTAGGGTTGCTACCTTTTCTTCAAGCGAAACCCGAACACTCTAGCGATGCACAGACATTTTTTGGGGAGAATGAGTCGTGGCTTATTCATATGTAAATAGCCACCCCCCCATTTAATATGTAAATATCACAGTTGAGACTATTTTCAGTGGGGGG